CACTGGTTATAAAATACTAGAATTCATCATATCAATTGGCAAAATACTGATGTTACCGTTTTGTACCAAGAATTGATCCTCCTTGACCAGTCCAGCCTCCAACATCTCCCCAGCTGATTTCCTTTATCTTTGAATAAAAGTAAAAAAGGAGATTCTGTTAAGTAATTATCCAATTACTTCTCTTGACATGCAGCAAACACCAGGTACTACTTAATGTAAAGCTGTTGGAACAAGTTGTTGGGCACAGACAGCACCAAAAATGAACTTGACAAAGAAAGAAAACAGCATCAAGAGGTTAACTTAATTTCTCTTGAATTCTTACCAATCCCTTTCCATTCTGTCTATTTGTTCTTTCTTCCTCCAGATCATGATGAACCCTGACTCCTTGTTTCATATCATGATCCTGTTTTCACATCCTCTCCTACTGAATGTGAAACACAAATCTAGAACTAGGTCTTTGAAGTTAGTTTTGGGACCTGTGGTTCCAGCTAGGCATAGAAATCATAAGTCTTGTATCCAGTTTCTCCTCAGTATACCAACTGATGCTTAATACTTAAAACAGGAGAACAGAAGAATCTAACTCACCTGGGGAAAAAAAGAAGCTTCCTCTCCCAACAAGCACCACTGCAAAGTTTCTTATAGCAAAGGAGCACAGATGCAACAACTCATCGCATAGAATCAGCGATTCTTCTGTTATTCTGTGGAAAACCTACCATATGCTAAACATTGACCAAAATTTGAAGGCAGGATTCATCTGAACTAATTTTGTAGCTCTGTAGCATGTGATTATCAATACTTAAGATTAATCTAGACTTGAACAGTTGAGAAATACAGTTACAATTTGGGTTTTATATACCTTTATGAAATAAAGGAACTTACAGAATCAGTTCCTGCAACAGTTATGACAGAACATATCTTCTAAGAACATAAACAAAGCTGGTGGTGTGGGATGGGGTACATACTACTATGTAATCCACACATGTAATACTGACCTTCCCTCTAGCAAAACCTTCAAATCCATCAATGACAGCAAACATTTTATGGCCTTCAGTTATGCCAACTCTCACTGCAGCCCTCACTGCAGCATTCATTCCAGCTGCAGGGGCACCAACATTTAAGACTGCCACATTAAAATTAGTCTGCAAGAGAAAAAATAATATTTAATAAGCACTTTAATTCTACACCATGGTTAATTTGTCAATTGTACACAGTTGCTAAATATTGGAACATAGGAAAAGAAATTTCAAAGCCCCTAAAACCATCCATAATTTAAAGTTAACTAGGAGATACATACACATATTTCCCTACTTGCAGAGTATCACATAGAAACAAACAGTTTAAAAAAGGAACGTTTGTTTTTAAATAAGACTTTATCACATTTTCATTTGGTTTGCAGGTTAAGTTATTCAGGTGTTTATATTCTAGCTCAGCTAGGTTCAAGAAACATAAAATATCCTGTGTTATTCAACCAGTTTCATGTCATCAAAGCAGTAGTTTTTTGCAAAAACACCCAGAATAGCCAAGAAAAGAGTAGGAACTGATTCTAGCACCATAGCAGTTAGGTGTATATCATCAGTACCATGCAAAGCGGAACAGATGAAAACTTCTAAATTAAAGTATCACCCAGGTTTTTAGAGCAGCTGACAATATAGTAGTAAACAGGAACACTCGGCATCTTTCACAACACTATACATTTTCAGATTATGGCAGTTTTTAAAGCATTTCCTAACAACTCAAAGTAACTGTGCTTATACATGGTGTCTCCCCAAGTTTAACAAGTATCCCAGGTAAGCGGCTAATCTACTCAAATGGAAGAGTCTGAGATATCAGATATACATTTGTAATTTAAACTACAGGCAATGTAAGAAAGAAGGTTCTATTTAAAACATAACATGAAATAATAAATATTTTGGTATATAATGTGTATTCCATACCTATGCATTTAGTCCCCCATTTATATGGCTTTGTTATCAGTTGAACTCTAGATAAAACAACTACATCTGAATGGATGTAAGCATTACAGACTGAACAACACAAGTGGCCAAAATCACACAATCCAGCTACAAAATACTATCACGAACTTCTGCCTTGTTACAACAGACCCAACTCCAAGACCACAACAGTTTTCAAATTAAGAACGCTTTCTTCAATGGAATTACTACTTTATACTGATAAATCCAGTATCATTCAGATCATGGATTCTTTCCCAGAGGAAAAAACTTCAATACTTACATTAAGAAGAAAAATATAACAGAAAAATTACTCATAAATCTGCACTGTAAGGGTAAACAAAGCAAGAGTGCTACTGTGTGTAGAACGCTAGTAGGCATCTTTGGATTAAATTTTAACTGCAAAGAATGAAATGCAGATCTTCTGCACATGAAGTATTCCTGGAAATGGAAGGCTTATTTCCAGATAAATCACGGGCCACTGTCTTTGATTAAGAAACAGTCAGCTAGTATTAATCAATAGAGTTTCACTGACATCAGTAAGTGCTGATTTACAACAGATAAAAATATAATCCATTACCAAAAAATGAAGGTGGAACTGCAATTTATTATTTTTGTTTTATTTTTACAGCTTTGAAATTAATACTGAGAGCAAAATATAAGTAAAGAATTAAAACTTTACACGCCTGACTTTTGGGAAATTTTAACCACTCTGTATGAATTTAAATGATAGCAAGCTATGTAAGCAAAATGCAAGAAAATCAACAGCCTGAGCTTATACACTAAAATTCATCATGCTTTAGGTCATCTGCATGACCTTAAATTGTTTATAACTATTGACATGACAGAATTGTAACAATTTGGTACTGTGGAAGAGCTAGAAGTTATTAGCTTTATCCTGGAAGATGGGAATATAAAACAAAAAACCAGAACAGTTGTTAGGTAATGATCATTGAATCTCGTCCAATCAAAAAAAAAAAAGAGAAAAAAAAGACCCAAAACAGAACGTATGTGGTTTCCTTTTTAGCTCTGACACAATCAAAGGATTGTAGAAAAACACAAAGGAAACACAAGCGGCAAAATATCTGTGTGCAGCAACACTGCTGAAGCAGAGCATTCAGTAGGCTCTAGTGATCTGATCAGCTTAGCCTTTTCCTCAATTCCTGTGACATGCACATTTCATCTACTTTTTAATTCCCCATCCAACCCCTTTTATTGAATTTCACAGATTTGGCTAGTGCAGTCAAATCCAAGTAGTTAATAATTACAACCTGCCTACATTTCCTTCTAATGTCATCCATCACAAAAAGATATGGCAAAACTATTTTAAAACAAAATACAGAAGCCCAGTGCTAACAGTCCTAAATTTGCATTGGTATATTAAAAAAAAAACCACACAATAACACATACACCCCTGATCTGGCAAAGCAAATGTTGAATATCCATAAAAAAATCCTAAATTCTTTGATGTCTTGAAGGTCAAACTTAGGTCCTCTTTTTAAAAAAAAAAGTTTTGGCAGGTATATTTGAAATAACTTTGGTCTATACACTTACTTTTACTTATGTTTAGGCAAAAGTTAAATTATACTTTTAACTGGAGTTCTTTTATCATAGTCTTCCCTGAAAGCTTCCACTACGACTTTTCACGCATAACCAAGTTTCCTCTACTGTGTGAAGTTTTCCATGACATATTACACAGTAATTTTTGTCAACTAAAATAACTAGTTGTGATTATGTTACTTGCTATCCACAGAATTTCCGAACAGATGTCAACTATTCAAATTATTTTTTCCTATTTTCAATGCAATTTTTCTCCTTAATAATATTGAGAAGATACTATTAATCATTAGTCAAATATTTAATTGGAATAAAAAAATCCAAAAAAACTAACAGTAACAATCATGCAAATAAGGTAACAAATCACCACAGACCACAATTAAAAGAGGAATTAACCAGTGAGGTGACACAGTCACCAACTATGGTCAAAGCCAGAATTATTCAGTAAACCATTAATGAAAACAAAAAATCCTGAAATTTGTTTTCACACAACATTTAGTGTCTGCTTCCTAATAAATCCGAATTTCCTCTTATGCATAACTTACAAACTACAAAGAAAAGCAGCACTAAATGTCCACTGCTGTATTATGCACAGTGATTTATTAGATCAGGTAAACGTGATGCATCTGCCTCCACTATTCCATCACATGAATTCCTGGACTTACCCCTGTTCTTGAGCAGATTTACCCCTCAAAAGGAAGGGCTAGAGTTCTTTTATATTGAATCTTCCTTCTTTAACCCGAGATTTTTAGACTCTTAATCATGATTACATCACCTTTCCTTCTCTCCATGTTAAGGAACAGAGGGCATAACTAACTATTAGGACCAGACACTATAGCAATTGGGACCAGACATATATCCAAGACAGAAAGAAACTGTCTAGCAGGAAGTTTTCTAGTTAGAATGGCATTTCACTTTATTCTAATAATAACTAACATTTTTTTAAAGTTATGTGTTGCAAGCATCTTTCTGCCATTATAATATTTAACTAATTTTATAAAATATCCTATGGCATAGGTTTGAAGAGAATATTAAGGTGGGATGAGGGGGAGTGAAGAAAAACACTGTTTGTTACGATACCCCGAAAGCAGTCATGCATTGCACACTCAAAAATCCCCTTACCTTTGGAAGCTCAGCATCTGGTTTTTTGTGCGACAGTAATTTGTAGGTGTTAAGGTTGTTTTCAAAGCTCCTAAGTAAATAAGTAAATAAGATAAGTTTTTAATTTTAATAATTTTTTTCAACTCATAGTTATTTTAAAGAAACACTTGAATTTTTCAGAAGCTTTTAAAAACAGGTATGTAGTATTTGGACCAAAGTTATGACAAATGCAAAACACAATAAAAACTGGAAATGAGAGAACACTGGAAAATATTCAATCCTGTAAGATAATAGTGAGAAAATATAAAAGCCATACCTTCCACGAAGCCTCACAGCCTCAACAAATCTTCCCTCATCCATGGCTTTCTGGACTTCTTGAGTCTTGAAAACAAACAAGTTGATTACTCAATATGTTTAAAAAACACAGGAAGTTGATTATTTAATATATTCCAGTAAACAGATCATTCTGAAATAGCTTTCCAAAGTGAAAAAGAAATATTGACATTTCATAAATTTATGAGCTACCTCCTATCATAGCATAAATTACAGTGGACAGGAGAAGAACAAAGTAGCAGCAGACACCTAAAGCCTTCTGGAGGGGGGGTTGGTGTGTGTGGAATCAATGTATCTATTTTGTGTTTTCTTTTTTCAGTTTAAGCTGAACAGTTTTAGTGCAGAAACCTGACTGTTGTGTATGACATGTAAATGGATGCAAGCATCTGAAGAATTTGTTGTAGCAATAAAGAGAGAAGATCTGACATAAATTTTAAAACAAATTAAAAATATACATATTTCTTGTTTGTTGGTAGTTGGCAAATAAGTAATAACACATAGAGAACACACATGAAGTTCATTATTCCCAAATGTGGGAAATTGCTACACACATTCCCATCAGTGTTTTAATGACAACAGACAATTATTGTACACAGTGCTCTGTTGTAGTTAATGAATAACTATACATTGGCATTTTGCCAGAAACTCACCATCTGCACACACTCCATCAAAGGCAGACGGACAGCCTGGTTACCAGACAGGGACACGACACAGGCAGGGGTAGCTGGAGTAGCTTCTAAAAGGGCAAGCACAGCTTCCACACCCATACGACTTGCCTGGAAATAGATAATGATGGAATGTTCAAGCAAGCACTTAAAAGCACAAGGCTTCCAATCACAGAAATGGCCACGATTTCTCTGTAAATCAAACTGAAACAAACTATTCCTTGGTAGGTGAAAATGTCGCAGGCTGTTTAATAGTCTTAAGTATGGACAATTGTTCTTGCAGCTTTGCTTTTTAATCCTTTACATAAAGTGCTTCACTATTCTGAATTTGAGCTATTCAGACAGTTAATGTGAGATATTAATTGGATTTTTCAAGTTAATGAGGTGAAGAACTACCCCACCCCCAAATAAATAATCAAAATGTAGTTGTACCATGTGGCGCCATGAGCAATTATTTTAGGTTCACTCACCAAAATTCTGTCAAAAGCTGAAGGGGTTCCACCTCTTTGCACATGACCCAAGATAGTTACTCGAGTGTCAAAACCGAGCCGCTGAACCACAAGCTGGAAAGAATTTCAAAATACAATGGTTTTATGATCATCATTATTTTATATATGCACATGTTAGAATTACTCTGCTTCACATGCTATTGGACTAATGAAATTCTCCATATACTATACATTAGTATGCCAACAGTAATGAAAACACTACAGAAGTTAAGCCAGCCTTTAGTTTATTCCTAACCTAGGACTCAACTCCAGGTTCCTAATCTAAAGGAATCCAATTTTAGTTATTAACGGCAAAACAGTGGCTTAGATTGCAATACTTTAACTGCAGTTATAATGGCTTCATTATGCACAGTCCTCAGGCTTATAAAAACAGGTCTAAACATTATAATTAGAATACTTGAAAGAAGTTCAATTACAGTGTTTTATTCACTCCATGTTTCACCTATGTGCAAGATTACACATCCCAAAAGATTCTGAAGTGAAGATGACTTTTAGCCTTCATTAGCAAGGCTTTTAAAACTTGCAGTAAAAATTATAATAAAAAAACTATTTCATTCAGTCAGACTTTTTTTTCCATTTTCTCTGTTGCATATCAAAACCAAAGTCACAGAAAGACATCTTTTATTAATACATCTTCAGTGGAGCACATAAGGTTAGGAATAAGTAATGGATACTATAAAGCAGAAAAAAAAATTAGAAGTTATTTACAAAATCTTCTATCCCTGGTATTTATAGTTTTTGAATGTTTTAACTGGCTGAAATTTGTAGCAAGCAAGTAATGTTTCTTCCATAAATGCATAATAGCTATCTCCTGTATGTACACTTAACACCACTTGGTGCTAAATTTTACTTTGTAAAACTGCAATTCTGAATTAAGAGTCAAAGATTACTCTCAGAGTGAAAGCTATGGAAAACAAAACTTCATAGTCACAGATAAACCCCAGGTAAAGTCAAAGTGTCATAGCTCTTTCCTGCCAATGACTATTTTTCAACTTCTTTTCTTAAGGGACCCTTTCCAAGAAAAGCAGAATAATTCCAGCTCAAAAGTTTTCCTTAATCTTAGACACCAATTAATTTTTTGGCAAAGCAACCATTTAGAAGAAAGTGACAACACTTTGTCCAAAGTAGACACTATTATTTCACTGTGAGACGACTGTCATTAAAATTTTGCAAGAAATGTAACGTAAAATAGGATTATAATTACTGACTCAAGCTGATTTCAGACTCCCTACCCATGAAGTAGGTGTTCTGGACTGTTGTCTTATTTTACAAGGAGAAAAGGTTCTAATTAACTGAAATAATTCCCCCTTAAGTGGACTATGGATTCAGATAATAAAAGCACAAATATAAAATACAACCAGCAAGCTGTGTGATAAGCTACTTTACAGGAACAGATTTACTTTACAGAAATGTTATTGTTAGTAACAAGCCCCATCTTAAGAACATAACAGAAAGTGCATCATTAGGATGTTGACACTTACATCCTTAACCTTCTCTGACGTTATAGGTTTGTTGTGGCAATCAATAGCTCCTTCAGCTACAATAATAATATTCAGCCTTTTCTTTCGTGCACGATTCTATAATAAAAATAAAAGCGCATCCATATTATAAGAAAACTGAAAGAAATTTACAGCACAATTTTATAATCAGTTGCTATACATTAAGCTGCTAGGTTTTGAGGAAATTATTTCTTATACTTGGTCACTTCAGAGTTCTCACACATTTTATCTGCATACAGATCTCTTCACTGATGAAGTGAAATGTCTTATATCAAATTAATGAGGAAAGGTACACACACTGCTTATAGGGATTATATAAAACTATTGCTATAGAGTAGGTCATATATCTCTTCAAAACAATCGCAGAATGCAGGAAAGGAACTGTTTAAGATCAAATAGCACTGTGACACCAGAAGCGAAGACTTGCTGAAAGTACTGATTACATGTTTAAATCACTGTTTTCAAACAAGCATCTGCAAAGACATCAGGAAATCCCAAACATAGTAATAGATTACCTCTGAAAGCTTAACACACATTGAATCTTCCCATCCTTCTTCTGGTGGGTATTCAGGAATAAAGACCCAATCTGCACCACAGGCTAAGGCACTAACAAGAGCTAGATACCTAATAAACATAACAAATGATTAGACATTTATGGTTCAGATTTCTTGATCTTTCATAATTATAGCCGTATGAGACACAAACTGCTGAAGACAATACATACCCACAGTGTCTCCCCATAACCTCCAAAACAAATGTCCTCTGATGGCTGTAAAAATAAGAAAACAAATTAACTGTAATACTGCAACTCAGAAATCCAGCCCAAATTCTTGAAATCAGAACCCGATATCAGGAAATAGCCTGTGTTTACCACACTTACCAAACACAGAATTCAGTAGCAAAATAGAAGGCCATATTAAACAATGTATTTAAAATTGCGTATCTCCCAATGCCTCATTCATTTTCACTACTACTTTCTTCTAAAGCATGTAAGGGCAGTTAGGAGACAAGAGGTGAACATTTACCAGAAATGTAAATGGTGCAGACCCATAGTTAAGAACTGTAATGATATAGCTGTATTTAAGAAAAAAATAATTTAATTGCTTAAATTTTACCTTGGGAAGGCTTATATACAAACAGATGCTACTTTGTACTTTTCAAAGTGTGTCTGGATCTCCTCTAGAAGAGTATGTCTGGGAAAGACTAAAAAACGTTACAAAACCAAAGCCTGCCCCTAAAGCTGATGCAGCCTCTACAATTAGATGCTTGAAGTGCTGCCATGACAGGAATGATGGAAAAGCAGTTGCTAACAAAAAAAAGAAAACTGAGACACTGGAAAGATGCAGCCAAAAAGAGCTTTTATGCCCACTCTGGAAATACTACAAATACCAGTTACCTAACTTCTATTTAAAATTAGCTTGTATCCTCCACTATCATATGGCAAAAGGAAACAAGATTTGAAGCATAAACAACTGTATATTTGTTACAGTTTTCTATAATACACACAATTTACCTTTGAGCAGTGGTCATGATGGCATCCACAACTTCAATGATTCTGTGCAAGGCTGAGTCAGTACCTATGGTCATATCAGTGCCACAGAAGTCATTGTCTATGGATCCAACCATTCCCACAATGTTAAGGTAAGCATATTTCTTAACAGCCTCTTCATCAATCTTTCCTGTAAAGAAGTATCCAGAGAAAGAGTTATAAGATTTTTTTTTTTTAACAGTTTAGACATATTGCTTGGGTGCTCTACTTTTGTAAATTAAACATATCCAAAAATTAAATTATGTTTAGATATTTTAGGTAACAAGGTTAGTCAAAACTACAAACAAAAGCCAATCAAACCACCAAACAAAAGAATCCTGCATAGAACTCCTTACAGTAAGGAAGGAAACAAGAGCTTTTCAGTCCATTTCAGTGTCAATAGATTATCAAGTTTTGTAACCAACCTTAAAATCGATGGTTTGAACTTAAACAATAGCATTCAAATTGTAGTCCCGGTGTATGACATACAATGAAGAAGTAAAAGGATGCAAACTGGATGTGATTATGGGCGTATGTGAACAATCAAAAAAACATTAAATTTTTGAAGACTTCTCTTCTGCAACACTGAAAGGCTCTGATTTCCTGATTAATAAGCAAATAGAATAGAAAAGCTCCTATTCTAAGTCTTAGTCTGTGTCTCCCAAGACATCAGTGAAAATGCTGAATCATCCAAGAGTTCTAAAGGATCTCAAGGATGAAATACCTTAGCACTCAAGTGCTTAAAACTACCTTAGTATCTGTGGATTCGATGGTAGTAAATATAATGCCAATTTTTTAATATGGGATTCAAGAACTCTGTATCAGTGTGTTTAATGTCTATACTAGAGAAAATAGTAGAAACCATAATGAAAAATATAACTAATGTCCATAAAGATAAATACAGCATTCTGAAGAAGAATCAAAATGTTTTCTATGAATGTATACAATGCATTACAAACCTTTTCTAGAGTTCCAAAGGTGACTTAATGATCACATGAATAAGAGATATCTGGTTGACATATTCTACTTAGATTTGCAAAAAGCCATTGACAAGGTCTGTCCTCAAAGGATTTTGAGGAAACTAAGTAGCCACAGCATAAGAGAGAAGGCTTTAACATTGAATAAATAATGTGAAACAGAGGGTAAAAAATACGAAACAGAGGGTAGTAGTAAATGCAAATTCTTGTATCTGAGGAAGGTAACCAATGGAGTTCTACAGGGATCTGCATACTTAGCATATGCTCAGTTCAACACACTCAGCAATAACCTAGAAAAGGGAATGAGCAGTAAGGTGCCAAAGTTTACTGATCAAACTGAATTATTTGGGTTCTAAAGGTGTGGAGTGTCTGAGAAGAAATGAAGACGACTAGCAAGACAGTGAGCAGTAAAGTATCAGATGGAATTCATTGTAGATAAATGTAAACTAATAGACATGAAAAATGTACCCTAACATCACAAACAAAATAGTGCTATTTTCAGCATAATAATATAATAATGCTGTTTTCATTAATAAATCAGCTTCAATGCTCAATAGCAGTCAAAAAAAAATCAAAATATTAGAAAATATTAGGAAAAGAATAGAGAACAAAACAAAGTTCATTATACTACTGTGTAGATCCATGGTTTGCCCTCATCTTGAATACTGGGTGCAGTTGTGGTCCTCCCCACCTCAAAAAGGACATGGTAGAACTGGAAAAGGTTCAGAGAAGGGCAACAAAGATGAACAAAGGTATAGAACTTACATATAAGGAACAACTAAGCAAACTAGGACTCTTCCATCTAGAAGAGATGATGAAGGAAAAATAAGACAGCTGTAAAATCTTGAGTAGCATGCAGAGAGGAAGCAGGATTGATCATTCACTGTTTGTTCTAACGCAAAAATTATAGGACATCAAATGAAACTAGAAGCCAGCAGGATCAAAATAAACAGGAGAAGATTCTTCACAATCTTCACAATCTTCATCATTCATTGAAGCTGTATAACTCCTTGCCACACAATGTTTTCAGCAAAAATCTGTATGCTTTCAAGGAGACTGTATACATTCATGGAAAAGAAATTCATTAAGGACTGCTACCAGCATCTGGTTCAGGAAGTCCTGAAGACAGAAATGGATGGAACCTATCAGTGTATTTATGTATTATGAAAAACATATAGCATCCACACAGCATTATTTAGGCTTGTTCTGTTCTTTTACTCTTCCCTGTACATTCTCTTGGATGCTATCAAAGACAACTACTGGGCGGGATGCACTTTTAGCAACAGCCACTTAATGTTCTGATCTTAAAAAAATAATGACATATAGGCAGGAAAGCATCATAATTTAATAACAACCAAATGTGTAGCCTGATGTAGGAAAGGAATTACCATCTCAGTTTGGATTTGAGAGCAAAGGGCTTTTCAAGCAGAAGGTTCAAAGTTCAGGCCCTGAAAATTATTCATAATGGGGGGAAAAAAAGCCACACAAACAGTTGCCCAGTAACTTATTTGGCCTTTTTGAACCTTTACGGTATATAAAAGAGGATGTACAGAAATCAAAAACTATTACTTTATGAAGAACTGTGTAATTTCCTAGAATGTATGCATTTTGCTTTTTGAACTTAAGAAATGTCCTCTGGATATAGTTTGTGTGTGTACAGTTAGGGTACATAACTTCCCTGGAGATTGGATTAGAAGTCTATAGAGGGTCTAAACACAAACTTACCTTTCTGTGCCAGTTCTTCTAGCAGTCCACTCCATTCTTCACGGAACAGATTGGCACCAGTTAAGCTACCATCTCCGCCAATCACACAAAGATTAGTGATTCCTCTCTGAACCAAGTTGTAGGCTGCCTGCAGGCGGCCCTCCCGGGTACGAAAGGATTTGCAGCGTGCACTACCAATAACTGTACCTCCCTAGAAAAAGGAAGTATAACAGTTTTAATTTATTATCCAGTATTTTACTGGATTTTTTTTTAAGACAGATTAATGATGAACGGTTATTTTGTAGCATAACCTCCATCTTTAATTTTACAGTGAGTAAAAAGCAATGAAAAACAAAGAATTATCAAACCTGTGGGAAATTATGTTCTCAAGAACAGATACACACACCAGGGAAAAGGGAAAAAACACTCGAAAATGACTGATAAAGAGCTACTCTTGAAGGAAAATGTTAAACGATTTGGGATTCATTCAGTAGCATTCCAATTAATTATCTAATTATTACTTATATGTGATGACAATACTAAAAGTGGCATGGTACTAAGTAGTTAAGAATTTAGATGAATTAGCTTCAAAGCGTGACATTTTTCCCCTAATATCATGAAATATATAAACAATAGCAGAAAAGATGTATCCCTAAAGCTCAAAATTAGCATTCATTGTCATTCGACAGAATTACAGAAAGAACTGCATCCACATTTAGTGCCATATAGATCAGACTAATGTTAAATTTTCTGTTTCATTAATTTATCTGCTGTATTTATTAATATGATGTAAAGAGCTTCCTCCAAAAATTGAAGTCATTATTTTTAAAAAAAGACTGAAGCGCCCTTTCACTGGAAATTGCTGGGCATCTTGCTGAAAACAAGTTATTTACAAATCTTCTGTGTTTATGTTGTTTAGTCACTCAAGAAAAGTCTTAATTTTTGCCTTATTTACTGTCACAGTAAAAAATAAAATTAATTATGACTGCAAAAACTTTTTTCCTGCAAACAAATCTGGAGATGATTACTTCACTTTTGCACAAACATTTCCTTCACTTTAACTTATAATAAATCAGTCATGCCAATCTAAATTTGAGCTCAAATCTGTAGAGGCTGTACTGATATGATTTGCCTTATCAATAGGTGTTTTGGCTCTCAAGCCAGTCCTAGGCACTATTTTACCATCTACGTTGCAATACACAACAGCCACTAGTGGAAGAAAAAAAAAAGTGGAATAGAAGCAGTTCAGCTTTCTTCACAGACAAAAAAGTAGAAGTGTACACATGGAGATGTTCTAAAAATAATAATCAGGACTAAAAAACATATCCGAACTAGATATTTTCGTACTTAAAAAAACATAGTTGTAAGTGGAAAAGAGACTATGTATTTGAAACAACATACTACAACTTGTTCTGATTAAACAGAAATACAAGTTGCACTGAAAAATCTTTTATCAAAGCAACTAAACACATTCTTTAAGACGCATCCTCAGCTTCACTGTTGGTCTGTTGAATTCCTAGCAATCAGGCTCAGAAAGGTGTTATTCTTATAGTATGTACGCTATATACATGTATAGGATGCCTACATCCTGCTCCTGCCTATGCTCCTGTATGGCTTGGCCATAACATCTCAATTTTCTCTTAAACATAAGATTACACATTCTACAAGATAGAGAGGGGATTAAAAAACAACAAAAAAAACACAGATGGACAAAATATCTCACGGTATTCCAGGGTATTTTTTTGTTTAAAAAAATTAGAAATCTATTTTTCTCTCTGTTAACTGCTTTATGTTTATTACATTAGCTTTACAGAAAGCTCCAAAGAAACCCACGCTTCACCTGGAGGTAGTTTTCAGAAAGCTGGGCAAGCAGTAAGGCCCCTTCACCAAACATAGCATCTGCTCTGGAAGAGGTAACAACATTACCATGCTGAGGAAAAGTGTAAGGAGATCCAAATGGCCACCTTGCAGAATGTTGCAATATAAATGTACAGATAATACCAAAGTCACTGGTATTATCTGAGCTCTGGAGAACTGTACTGTAATTACACCCATTACTATAATTCTAAATCCACTTGCACAGAAAGCCAACAGGGTTTCTTAAGAAAACACTTGTCTTACACAAAACACAGTTGTTTCCTATTTTGGCCCTATAATGTCTTTTTTATTAAATATAGGCTTGTCAATATGGCTTTAGGAGGCTAATGACATGCAATGTTGAAAATCTAGGACAAAGGTTTTCAAGATTATTTCTGTGCACCAAATACAAGACCACAGAAAGATCTTTAGAAAGTGTCAAACATCCATACTGTAGAAATCAGGCTCTGCTAGAAGTGGTATGTACTGGTCGCTCAGTCATGACAGAAGTCGAATCCATAATTACAGTGGTTGCCTGGATCTAGAATTTTGGTTCCCTGTTTAAAGAGAGAGGGTTTGGGTCCCACCCCCTAACACTTACCACTTGCAGGATACTTGAAACACTTTCCCATGAAACTTCTACAATATTATCACCTCCATCAACCATTCCCTGGTAACCCTGAAGGAGAAGAAGTATTTCAGAAGTCTGATTTGAAAAACTGTGTAACATTTCCACTGCAGTAATACTCACCTTGTGTATTTAATGCAACTTTAAGTAGTTAAAAGCACTGAATAAAAAAAAAATACTCAATTTAAATGAAACAACATTCAAGCAGGCATCACATTAGGGGGAAAAAAAAGCCAAACAAACCCTTTTCCTATAAGATCAGTTCCAATGACAACTTCAAGATAAATTAAAACTGTACACAGATTACACAGCTTATAAATTAGATTGGCAATGTATTTCTCCTGTCTTAGGAATAAATATTCAATTATTTTTTAAAAACTACAAAGATGACGAACTTTGAAAAACATTATAAAATGTGCTTCCTAAAACCATAACCTCAGCCTGAGGCCATGATCTTCAAAAAATATCTACCTTTGTAACACTTTGTATACTTTTTCCCCCAAGGTAGGTATAAGCAAAACAAAATAAAGAGCAACAACCAAAAATTTTTCATAAAGGAAGAAGAAATCAGGTCATGTAACCTTTATTCTTTTTTGGAGGCAGTTACACAATAAATAGATGAAAGAAGTTTAGTAGAAAAATACAACTTTTACTGATGCATTTAAGAAATCCTTAATACCTTAACGCAAATGGTCTTCAGAAACCAATGCATACTGTAATATAGAAAGAACTACACTTAGTTGAAAGAAGAAAACTATCCAGTGAGCAGCTGAAGGGTTTTGTTATGACTGGCTTTTACCCTGCATAAATACTAGCAGAAAGATAGTGACAATTACAGATTCTTTCCCATTAGGTGATACTGTGAACACTGATTTAAAAAAAAGAAAATACAGCAAAGTTCTAACCTCGAAAAACCTAACTGATATAGACACCAGAATAAAACTAGAGTTACCATTCAATTTTTTGACATTTATTTAAATCCAAAGGGAAAAAAACACCCTAGGTTAAAGAAAACAAACAAAGCCCCACCAAACAAAAATAAACATGACCATGTTTATGTCTCCATTTTTAGATTATGTGTACATATGGATAATCATGCTGAGGAACAACTAGTTAACCTTTCTTCTGTATGCAGTTCTTGCAAGACCGTACATACTTAGTTTTAGGGTTCTCAATAATACATCAGGTGGAACTAGAAATAAAAGGGAGTTTAGAAGACAGCTAAATGGACATTATAAACTGGAGACACTTACTTTGGCACAATCCAGAGTATACACAGATTTTATTCAGTAAGCAGTAACTTGGAAACATACTAAGCCTACACTGTCTTAAAAAGCCATATATAGTGTATGAATACTACATCATCTTGGAGTCTCTCACTAGCGTGACAGGATAAGAATATAAAGCTAACATGGACAGCGAAAGTACGAATTACTCAAACTAAGCTTTCTAGGATTCTAGGGGAAAGCATAAAAATTTCTGCTCAGTGAGACCTGACTAATGAATTACATATAAAATGGTCGAGTAATAGCAAAGAAACAGCTAGGTAGAAAACTATCTGTCTCTCGAATTTCTGTCATTCAACAGATCTTTTCACTATTTTATACACTCTCCAGATAACTTCGATATGTATCTAATGTATACACATACTGCCTTGTATACTAATGTATACACATAATGACTTGAAGCTAAGACATTATTTGCACAATTCCGTCAAAATTAGAGCAAGTTGGAAAAGAAATAGTGCTTAATCTACGTATCAACTTAGGTTTTTTTTTCCCCTCAGGCAAAGTGCAAAGATCTTCAGACAGAAACATTCCAGTGGATCCAACAGAGCTTGATGAAGGCTAATAAACTAGTAAGTTCACTTATCGCAAGTTTGCTTGTTTTTTGTTTTTAAAGCAAAGAATCCCATGTTCCTTATATCACTCAGTAATGGATTGAAAGCTTTTCCTATCGGTGTTCCTACTGGCAACTACAATAACACAAAGATTCATAGGCAACAAATCCTGAAAGAATAGTGTGATGTTGCATTGTAACTCAGTTTGTAACACTGACTATAGTAAGCTGTACTACAAGCTGAAAAAAATATATACAGTTCACATATTTGTTCCAATCATTCACCCTTCATTTTTACTTGAGAGGAAAAAATAAGAAAAGTGGATCCAAGAAAGTATTACATACAGTAAATATATACCTATCATGAGACTCATGGATGAAAATTCCCAATTTGTACTTTATTAACAGATCTAAAACACAGGGAAAAGCAAATGGATAAACAACTATTTGAAATTGTCTGTAAGACTTGAAACACCTTACAGCTAGGCTAAAGATGAGCTAAGACAAACTCCTGCACCATGCATCTTTAAAGTAGAAAGAACTCACGCGTTCTGGTCAGGAGTCCACATCAGTTCTACTTTCTCTGTGTAGACAAGCGAGAATAGGGGCTGCATTAACAATTCCTCCCACTACAAGGTAAGGACAGGGAGCTTTCGGATCAGGCCTGATCCATTTTAGTTGTCACATTAGTTTCTCTTAACTCAGTTCTGCTTGCCAAGTAGCATAAGCTAGCTCTGAACAACGTAGCTAGAATTTCCACGCTGTTCTTCTATACCATTAAGAGATAAAAAAAACATAGAATTAAAACAGCTTTCTAGAAAAGCTATAGGGAAAAAAAAGATGACCAATTATAATTGAAGTATTAATAATGATCATGATTTCTATTTATCCTTTTAGTTAAACACTGATGCTAACTTGGGTACTGGGCAATCCATTTTAAAGGTGGAATCTAATTTGAAATATTTTATCAAATAGTTCAACACTGTTACAATTGTCTGGTTACTGAAAATTACTGGCAGATGTGCATTCAGACCTTAATAAAGAAGAGACCTGTCAATTTACATTAAAAAAAACTTACTTAGATTCTAAAAATAGCAGCTTGGGTACTAAGATATTAAAACTACGGGGCAAGAATGGAAAAAAGCAAACTGTCAAAAATACAGCAAGTACTGTACTTGAAGATCAACCCCATTTTACGCTTATTCCTTCTTCTACCCAAAATCTGAATATTCAAAGATGAACAAGAGGAAATCTCTGTGGGTCATATGTTCACAGGGTGCATACATATACACTGTAACTCCTGGAGAGACTGGCAGAGACAGCAAACCTTGCTTCTAGTCTTGACTCTACAAGAAAAAGCTTTAGAAAAAGAACAAGCCATCTTCTGGTATGTTACATGCGAGACATTTGGGGCTTTAACAGTTATTTAAGTTTACTTACTGAGCTTTTTTAGCTATTGCTCAACAACGTAAAGTATTAGCATCACTGAGTGCACAAACCACCACATAAAAGACATGAAGTTTTCCTCACAGAAATCCATGACTGCCGTACCACTGCATTTCCAATGCTGGCCTCTTGAGAAAAAGATTCTTAATCAAGATGAAGAATCTAAAAGTTCCATAGCTTAGTAGTAAGAGCACGCATCCACTGGGAACTATGTGCTTCAATCCTGGAAAAAGGGCAGGTTATTTGTATTATATATTTAAGACCTCAGTTTCTAAAATGAATTGCCATAAATGAGAGGCATCACTCCTTCTCATTCTCAATTAAAAAAAAAAACCAAAAACAAAAAACCAAAAACAACTTAAGTCACTTCTGATTAGTGAAAAAATTTAAACTAGCCTCCTAGAGCAGCCTGGTCTAGATCCCAGATTTTCACAGCATGAGTGAAATAAGTCCATGGGTATTCAAATTTTAATTCAGATTGGGGTAGATTTGAGGAATAATGTGATGCTAGTCAGTGAGGGTGACTACAGACTGTTATTGTACTAAAATTAAATACTACAAGTTGTTAACATGAATAAAATATGAAACTAGGGCAACTGCATAGAGTAAGCACTGTTTCCATGAATTAATAGTAAAATTTTCAAATGTGCTAATTTCAATAAATTAAGATAAAATTTAAATTGTATAGCTATAAAATCCGGGTTTTATATAAACTATATAAATTATATAATAATTATAGTTTTTATATAAACTATTTTATAGTTTTAATTTTCATATGAGTTGGGGGGGTGTTTTTTGGTTAGGTTTTTTTTTTTCCTTCTTCTTTTGGGAATCAAAGTATGTCCAAATAGCCCTTGAATTCCAATATCTAAATGTTTCTTTCTTTGGGCTTTGGTAAACCCAACTTAAAAAAAGGCTAAAAAATTATTTATATCTAGTTCATTGCCAATTTTTATTTATTTATCTTGGTAATCTCTCATCACAAAACGAAGCAAAATGGAATTAGAAAACAAAAGGAAAATAGAGTTATCTTACTTAGAATATGGAGCTAGTTTGGGCCACATCTGTGGAAGACAGATGGGTTTACAGTGCAAAAAGAGTTCTTATGACGGAGAAAGTTACAGGAGAAAAAGAGCATACGACAGCTAGAGCAAAATAGGCCTGAGAAGGCCGAGACCTTTAACCCCATTTTTTGGCTCCAAATAAGAAAACATTTTTCACCTTTCAGATGTTGCCACTTCAGTGTTTTCTTCACTTTTTCAGAACAGCTTCAATACAAGTATCCCTTTACTTTGACATGTGTGTCTAGTTAAAATGCCTCCTTAAAATGTAGGCTAAAAACATACTATTCTCATTGCTTAACACACTGAAGTCTGCATTTGATAAACTGTAATTTAGAAGGACCTTATTAAACGTAAGGAATAAAATAACTTCAAGTATACACAAAAATACCTCCCCTCTGTATACATCATACAAAGACTTATAATAGGGATCGTTAGTGACAAGTCTTACCCAAAGATTTTTACCTTCCACTACACTTGTCACCTGCATCTGTTTCCTATTTCAAAGTGCTGAAATTAAATAGTTGTTTCATTTCAAAGCTTGCAACAATGTTTCTCTGAAGTACTTAAATGCATTGTGAAAGAAAACTGTCTTCATATTTTACTTAACACAGAGTCAGAGAGGAAAAAAGCTTATCATTCAGTACTTCCTGAAACACAGAACTGGATGGACTAATCTAGAAGCAAAGATCTCTTTCAGAGCTATTACCCATACTTACAGCGAAATGTGCATTTTTCTCCCAGACTACACTGTTACAATGAAGATAGAATGACAATATATAATGGAAACTCAAAACTCCAACACTGACTTGATTTTTACAATCAATTTTCATTCAGAAATACCTGTGACTTCACATTGGCAAAGTCTAGCAATTAACAGAGGAACGTGATAGAAAAATTACACTATTTAAGTTCAAAAAAACAGAAATATCCAAATTTCTCTGGAAATTTATCACTGAATACACTCTGTGATACAAAACAGTTTTTAGAAGGTGACAAAAGTAAACATACTGTAAGATGAACTACAAAGATGGTAGTTCTTAAGTTAAACATAATATTAAAAAAAAAAAAATCCAAGTTCTGGTCTTTAAAGACAGCCAAAAACCCCTCCTTATTTCCACAAAAGTATCTGACCCATTTCAGCAAGCCTGCAAAACAGATGAACACTGAAGGAATTCTAGAGATTGGCCATGTAATTAGCACACACTAAGTATTCAGAGCTACTTGCTGTAGCACTGTAGTACAAAAGAATTTTGGAGCACAGTGCTCTGCTTATTTGCATTTCAATATACTTTGCATCTCTTTAGTAAATGAACTATAGGAATAAGCAGACACAGAAAGAAAATGGATAAATAGCTACCTTTTAAAGCTAAATTATATATTTTGCATGCGCAAAACTAAAACCAAAGTACTTTCCTAGCACTTCTATGAATTCTAATACTTTGTATTTTTATATTAAACATTAAAATTACATTTTGCTAGGTATATTGCCCACCAAGTTTTGCCCCATACCAAATGTTTATTATGATTTGTAATCACCTCAAACTTTTAAGGAGTTGTACAGGAATTCCAGTGTGAACAGAATGACTTCTTGCTAAATATATTTACTGTATCATTTAATCTGCAAATTTTATAAAAACTGAAAGTGTACTTCAGGCGGAAGTCTAACTATAACTTAGTCTTCTAGTAAGACATACACACATAGTATTATTTTGGCATTTACATTAAGCTTGTCTTATCATTTTTTCACATCAAATAATTGTTACAGAAGTTAACAATCTTCATGCACGTGCAGTCATAAGCTTCAACCACAAAATTCTGATGTCTGGACATACTACTGATGGCGCAGGTTTTTTGGTGGGGTCTTTTTTGTTTGTTGGTTAGAGTTTTTTCAGTTATAACGTTCTACCTATAAGCCAGGAAAGATGGCACCAGCCTGACAGTACTCTTGATCAAAAAGAAGTCGTGTAATCTGTGAAATGAGGGCGATGGCACATCCTTATCATACCCTAGGAAAATGGACTGGGGGAAGTCAAAGGGTTAAGACTTAGTAGTTTAACTAGGATTAGGAAGGTATTTATGAAGTGCAATATTTGGGACCAAACATCTAACAAGTACACAAATAGATAGCTCGCTGCTGGGTGACAACCATCTCTGGTTTTCCTCAGTATTTTCCAGTTTCTGGTGGCACATGAAGAATTCCATATATTTAAAAAATTATTTTTAAATTAAATAGTTTTAGCGTATACCTTGTAAAAAGTACTTTCCACAAAAAAATATGAAATAAAACGTTGATATGATGAAAGGGAACAACATCTACAACATTTTTTAATGTATACTATTCACAGTCCACGAGGTTTCCACAAAAACTCAAGTATAGTCAGAAGACAAAGACAGAATGAATAAAACAAAAACTAACCTCATAAACAAAATACACTTTGGCTTTTACATAGATTCCCATGCGTACTACTGCGCGCACAGCAGCATTCATACCTGGGAAGAAAAAGCAAAATCACATTGTTATAGATTATCCAATATTTTTTGCATACTACAAGTTTTCAGCATCTTTCAAAAAAAGGAAACATTAATTAATTCCTAGAGAAAGACATGATCAGCATCTATTAAAACAGAAATTTGCTTAATGACAGTGCAATCAGCCCATGAATATGAAGGGTGTAGAACTATTTGCTTTGTTATAATTATGTGGATTGTAAAACAGCATTGTAAAAGTAACAGCTACTAAACCAGAAACAGAAAGTAAATTCATTTCATAATAATGATTAGTTTTCTATCTGAAATGTAAGACATTCAGCCAGTTAATATTTAGCTTCTTCAAAGGAGAAGTTACATTGTAACAGTTCTTGTTCCTGAGCTTTCCAAAGTGACACAGGTGTATACACAGTATTTTGTGGGGAGCACAGCCAAAGCTCCTGACATGGACAGGTGCCCACTTAATAAGACGTAAGTAGCAGTAAATTAACACAAGAAATGCTGCATGGACTCATTTGACAGAAAACTGCCTAAATGCCACTCCGCTTCCCGGAATCACAAGCGGACACTAGAACTCTGCTCACAGACATCTGACAAATTACACTAATGTAAAATCTTCCATTTAAGTCCAATGGTCAAACACTTAACCTCCTGAGCAACAGTGAAAGTTCCACTGGTCCCCCTACATCGGTCAAATGAATTTCTGTCATAACCCATCCCTTCAGATACTGTGTTACGTTACTTATTATTCAGGAAGTTCCTAAAAATAATAAACTAATTGCTTCCATACCACTTAAACAGACACAAGAGATTATGCAAAGTATGAGGACAGAAGAAGTAGTTAAGCTACACTGAAAGAAATAGCCTTGGCACATCAGTTGAAAAAGGATGCCAGAAATGTGACCATCCAAAGTATTAGGTACCGATTCTCCAAATCTGTTGCACTTAGTATCAAAATAGCAAAGTAGTCAGTCAGCTCTGCTGTTCGACACAGGTGTTTAGTATTCACCTATCTGGAGATGTAAAAAGTTGGTAACTAGAATATATAAACCCACAACACAGTAAACCATAAAGATCTATTCCTACAACATCCACCATTATTGGAAAAAAACACTGAGCTATAAAAGCTTACCTGTCTGAATGAAGAATGAGACTGAGGTTTTCTCAAAGATTTATTACTTCAGAACATACCAGAAAGTCCCTGAAGTTGCCCAATACGAAACAAAAAAATTAAGTTTGCCAAAATCAAAAGTTGCTTTGTTGTTCATATAGATGTCACTTAGCCTTAAGATTAAAAAAATCACAAGTAACAGTGTTTTCACATCAATTCTGTATTAGGAAATTACAGCAAGATTTCTCTCAGCCAGAGTCAGTTTTGTGGCAGAGCTGGAAAAAGTTCTTAAATGCCAAGACAGCTAAAAGCACAGCTTTGGACGATGAATTGGATGATGCCAAAGAAAAGGAGAGAATCTCATCTGACGGGCTATACTGAAAAGAAAGCTAGCATGCTAGGTCTCAGATCAAAATAGATCTACTACACAGTGAAGTTATTTTCTCAGTGAAACAGTTTTCATAACACAGAGAACACCCCCACACCCCTCACACACAATGTCTCCTGGAAGTGGAGACAAAGAAACACTTAACTTTAGAAAACCGACAGTTCTTCACAGCACTGCCATTTTCCTCAAACGGGGAAGATACAAGCACAAGCTACTCCTTTTGTCAAAGTCCGCAGCTTGCTTCTATTAATGAACAACATGTTGTGTGGGAGGTTGGGTTTTTTTGTTAGTTGGTAGGGAGGTTTTTTGGTGGTTTGAGTTCTTGGGGGGGAGGGGGAGCAGGGGGTATCATCATTGTTTGTTTGGGTTTGTCTGTGGAGGGGTTCTTTCAGAGATAAGAACAATTTTTTATATTATCCATTTGACTGCAGAATTCTAGAAGAGCATCTAAAAGGTTCATTTTCTGAAGGGAAAAAGTTCATGTTCACCAAGTGAGGACTACTCAGAACTACCCTTTTAAGAACCTTCTGTTTTTTGAGGTTCAACTTTGTCACCTCTCTCGTTTGGCACCTGAGAAGAAACATTGTTTCAGGTATCTAATGTATGTTCAGTTATAAAGACTCTGGTGTCTCATTCAGCAGTAGTCTCTGTATTCCAAGTATCTAATTAGAATAAGAAAAAGTGTCTGTGATCCAAACAGGCTAAAGCAGAATAGTTTTGTCAGCAAAAATAAATATTTACTAAAATAGGAAGACATTAAATATAAACATTCACATGTCTACCAAAGATATGTACTTGTTTTTTATCTGTTTCTTGCTCACATTACTATTTATTGTTCATGTATCCTAGCTTTTTATCTTTAGCATGCACCTCTCAAATCAGTGTATTTTAAAGAAGGGTTCTCATTACAAGTTCTCCAGATCTGCCATATCTTCATTATGGATAAGTTAGCCTACAAAGGCTGATTTGGCTTAACATTCATACTTCTAAAACAGAATAAAATATAAGCATTTATTTCTTAAAATGAAAAATCCATTAATTCTTTCCATGTGAATATATTCATAATACAGCCACATACTTTCTTAGTGAATACTTTCCAGTTTCCATGTCTTACATGAAAAATTGGTAAAACTCATAATTTATCTGCTGCAAGAAAGGGCAAAAGCCCAGGAAAAAAATACACAAATTACAGACAGAAAGCATCTTCTCAGTACCACCACTGTAACTTTATAAGTTTATGCAACATACATTTTATTATTATTTGGTGATGTATATTTTCTCTTTATACAGAAGAAGGACTTGGATATTTATTGGCAAGCTCCTAAAGAAGTGGCTTACATTTCAGAAGGGCTGAGGACTGAAGGATGTTATAATTTGGTATCTACAAAAAACAGTTAAAATATTGAAGCTTTAGACTTTTACATGTTGGTTATCTAAATCTGAGTACACTGCTTGCAGTGATTCAGGTATGTAAATACAGAGAGTGTCATGAAGTCTCTGTAAAACTTGTCTAACAAAATGATGCTGTATTTGATTATTTGTGAAATCTTACAATAGTATTTGTGAATTACCATAATAACTATGAAATGTAATTAAATGCTTATTACTGAAAAAGAGATTTACTGGGTTAACCATGGATTTAGTCCTGAATAATAAATATAGACTGATAAACATATAGGATTAGAATAGCAGCTTCAAAAGAAAGCCACGAGTAAAACCAGTATTTATTTTTTTTTAATAACGTAAGAATTATTTAAAGTCTTTCTGAATTACCACTTGCTTTTGCGTTAAAACCTTTGACAGAGGAAAAGATTTATTTTGCTCTTTTGGACTCAAAGATTAAATAATCTGCAACTACTTACATGGCTTCACAGAATGTCTGAAATTAAATTATCAACTCTTTAATTACTGTCCTTCTTGATATTGCCTATTCAACTGTCTTTGAAAGCAGTTATTTTCATAGCAGGGTTACAAACAGTACTGCAGAAATCTTTAAATTATTTTAAAGACACTCCACTCTCCCAAAAGAGTATTCCTCTCCCGTGCCCACATCCTGTTCCACATACATATGCACCACAACAGAGGAGTGTGAGTAAAATTAACACACTATTTTGTGTTTAAGCCAAGTTTTCCTCACTTCAGTCAGCTCGACAGGCCTTTAAATAAATAACTGTAATACTAACAATATAAAAGAAAAATCAAAACTATGCACCTTGGACAAGCATCAAGAAATACCTAAGTACCACCAATTTTAAAAGATAAACATTGGTTTTAATGCATGCTTAATGACTTAGCGCATATGTTTAAGTGCTACCCTGAATAAAGATCCAGACTTAAAAGACTATATAGCAAAACACAGAAACTAAGGAAAATGTCTAAACATTACCAAACAGAAAGACTTTATTCAAGTATGTAAATGGATTTATCAGTAATGATGTAAGAGCCTATAATAATCAAAAGGAAAGATGAGAAGAAGCAGTCAAATACAAGAACTGAACAAGTCATTAAGAAAACAGTTTGGGTTTGTTCCATTTACTTGTAATTACATATATGCAATAAAATCTGTTAATCACAATAATGATTCTAGATACCTGAAGAAAATACTATACCATTTTTCTAAACAGTAACACTGTATTAGATCAGAACATTCTACTGCACAAATATATACAATAGCATAACATCTAGACTACACACGTAACTCCTTTAAAATTAAAAAAAAAAACATCTTGAGACTAGTTTCAATCATAGAATCCACTCATGGTAGAAGCAGTTCCTCCAAAATATTAAATGCATTGAAAGTTATACTCATCCATTAATAAATACATTCCTTAATTGTACATACAAATTATACTTGTAATATTACATATATGGACACATATATATGTATTTTACATACATGTCTATACACATACACACTATTATTTGACGGAAAAGGTGCCTTTTTGGGGGGCTAGAATTCAAAAGTTCCTTGTGACTATCTTCAAATTACTTAAGTGTTAACAAAAACTCTGTAATTTGGACAACATAAAAGGAGTGCAGGTTGTTTTGGTTTGTTTTTTTTTCCGTGGTTTTTGTTTGTTTGGGTTTTATTATATTTGTTCAGTAGCAAAATTTATTTTTCCATCATATGCTATCAGGACAAGATCAGTACATCTGTGCTACCACATTAAATATGTCTTGTGATGTTCCTAGGAAGCCTGTAACGCTTCAAGAGTAGAAATGTGTAAATCTTTGCTTCCACAGTCATGGTCTGTGGTATTCCAAAGCTCTGGAATCCAAGAGGCTATAGGGTTGGTTTTAGCTGTTCTAAGCTCAATATTTGCTGGAGGAGTGGAGTGTTTTTTATTTGTTTGGTGGCAAAACCTTTTCTTCCGATGTAAGTTTCCAGGACAAGAACGATACATCTGCACTACTATATTAAATACGCCTTGAAATGTTGGAAAGCATGTAATATTCAAACAGATATGTAGATCTTTAGCAGTCATGGTCTATGATCTTCCAGACTATTACCATGTTATCTGTAAGTCCCTTACTTATGCTGTCTTCCACAACACTAAATCTTTGAGCTTATCTCAAGAATAACACGGTCACACTCAAAGACAATAATCTTGAGCCAGTAAATTGCGCAACAGCTTGAAGTAGCCCCAAACACATCATTCCCCAACAGTACACAATCGCCTTCTGTCAGCTTTCAGATGACACTGTTCCTGCTGCTGAGCCATACCTATCATGTTCCTAGAATAACCAGTCTGATTGGAGGTTGTAAGAACATAAGTGACCTACAGCAGCCAAAATTGCCTGTGGCAGCCACTGGCAACCAGCATAAAATACAACCAGTGTACTTCATGACCTGAAGCAGACCACGGCCAGAGCGTCCCACAAAGTGAAGACAGAAGCATGACGTAAAACCCATTTATTAGTCCACCTTTCTGAGCTGCAACCACTACAGTTTAGAAATAGTCCAGAAACAGAAATAACATTTTGAGAATCAGTTGTCAAAACTTCTTTTGCCTCTCAAGGTGATTATGGTTGAAAGTACTTGTTTTAGTTCACAGTTTAACAGCTGGCTAGCTAAAGTGATGGACTGCAAAGTTTAATACTTACAGACCTAAGTGTACAAAATACACATCTTTTTTTCTGTGAAATAAATCACTGATAAATTCTTTAACTCCACCAAACAAAATAATATACCTGTGTTTAAAAATATGGTGACTAAACCATAGCAGTTCCAGTATGACATACACACATTTTCTAGTCCTTAATATGCCACGGGTAGTAAAAACGACAAACAAAAAAAGAAATCTTGCAGGGAAATACCACAAATGTGGGGAAGTAGTTTAAACCTTAACATGTCCTATAAATAGAAAGGCTTGCACAATTTACTTAATGCTACTTCTAAATTATTAAAAAGTACAATAATAGCAAAGGCAGTAACTTCTGTTTTAAAATAATATCAAGCATATTTTGTTCTAGGTTAAGATATACAGCCCACCAATCTAAATAAAGGCACCTATTGAGATGAAGATTACATGATTACTGCAACAGTAATGGGTGTTCTTTCCACTCAATTTCCTGTGAGTTTAGTTTGCATTACAGATATTCTGAAGCTTTTTAGTGTCTAGCAAAGCTAAAAAAAAAAAACACCCAAACAAACCCCTCCCCCCCCCAAAAAAAAACCAAAAAACTGCCCACCACTAAGAACAGGAGACTGGAACTCTTTTTTTTATATTAGTACTTTTTTGCCTGCTTCCAAGTCAGTAGTTTTGCCTCACCTACAGTTTGCTCGAATATACATTTTCAAACAACTCTGCAGTAATAGCGTATTTCCTTCTACTTCACAACTTCACTTCTCTCGCACATTTGCCCCTACAGAGGGCAAATGACCTTGACAGGGCATGACTCATTCTGTCCCTTGTTTAACTCCTAACCTAGCATGCAAACAGTCTCGAGCTTGCATATTTTCCCCACCTATACTGTTAGGAAGATAGTAAGGGTTATGTACCTCAGCTGTGTTGTGTGATTCAGCTGAAACGATCAAGTTCTAAAATGTTGGGTTTTTCCCTTGTTCTTCTAAGCTAGGACAACAACGCTGCCTACAAAACGACTTGGTATCCAGCTTACTTTTTTGGTGTTTGTGACAACCTCACTCCTCAGACAGCAACCTTCACAGGCTGTTACTTTTTATCCCTCCAAGTAAATATGCTGCAGTTGCAATCTGCCAGTCTAGACGTTACCCATGGATTCTGAAAGCCCTTTAATTCACATAGTGGCAAATGCAGATTAATACTTTATAAGAGAGCTACATCTGCTGCTGCATTATATAATCTCTAGCCATGCAGAAGCAAGTAGCAGGGCTCAGCCTCTTGCTGAACACCCTACTGCTGCTTGAGGCAATGCCCTGCCACACTTCAAAACTAAAATGGCGATTCGGCGACCAGACCATTAAAACAGAGACGTCTTGATTCACAGTCCCTCCTAGAACGATTTAGCAGTAGAATTGACGACACTGAGAGCAAACTGTGGACAGAATTTGAACGAGTGTAATCTCACCGAGGGACAAAAGAGAAGCCATTTTAAGGGCATCAATTTGCTTTTTCTCCGGAACTGCAACGTTTTCCTCTCCGCTTGGTTCCAAATCCCTGCCACCCCTGATTAGAAAGAGTTTCAGATAATCCCAGGTAAACCCGGGGGCTCCCCGTTATTCCTGCGGGCAGAGGGAGGGAGGATGCTTCTCCCAGCCCAGATGACGCAAAGGGGCGGAATCTGCAGCGACTCGCAGCGGATCACGTACACACCGGCGGCGGGGCGGGAGCGCGGAGACGCCGGTCCATGCAAACTACGACCTCATGGACGCGCCGAGAAACCGAGGGGAGGAGAGGCTGCTGCCTGGACCCGCTCCCAC